TCGGGTCAGGGTCGTGACAACTCGGAACTGACCCGGCACTGTTCGGGTCAACCCGACCCGACCATTTTAAAATGGGTCAGGTTTTGGACCCGAACCACGACCCGATTCAGGTTCCGGGTAAACCCGACCGACAAGAATGACTCGAAATTTGACCTAAAATTGCTAAATTTTGAGTAAAAAATTGGGTCAATATTCAATTTTTTGGGTCAAAATCCGGTCAACCTCGGGGTTTCGTGTCAAATATGAGTTTTGTGTCACTTTAGGGTCAATTTCGGGTTGTTGGGTCAACTCGAACCCGACCACGATTTTTAAAAGGGTTGATTTGTTCAACCCGAACCCGACCGGTTTTGGGTTCGGATTAACTCGAACCCGAATTTTTTTTGGACAGGTTTGGGTCGTGTTTCGGGTCGTGTGCTGGCAAATTTTTGGGTCAGGTGACCGAACACATCTCTGCGTTCGTCGATTAGAAATGCACATCTGTTAGACGTTTTTTTAATTTAATATATTTGTTTTATGTCTTGTCAGAGTGAGCGACCCGACCCGATAACTCAGTTCATTTGAACTTTTAGGCAATTTGCCGCCCTTTTTTTTCAATTTGATACCCGTGAAGAAAGACGTAAATATCTACTACTGTAGAAGAAAAAATGAACAAAAAATTGCACATAAGAATGGACTGCTCAGAGCGAAGAGGGAGGTGGAAGAGGGCATGGAAGAGGGATTGCTGAATCGGAAAAGGATCAATGATCGAAGGGTTGGTGCATGATCGAATCGGAACCTAACTTAGCAGGAATTCCATGTGGTTTAACATATCGGTAAGTTTTTGGAAAAACGAGTTTAGAAAGTGTAAACAGAGTTTGAATCTCATCGTCGCAGAAAAAAGGCGTAGGTTTCAGCTCATTAGAGTCTTAGGATCATAGATTTTGTGATTTCTGGCAGAATAATTTTTTTTTGTCGGAAAAGTAAAAAAAATTCTAATATCAGAAGTGAATTTCAGTAAATGACCAAGGACGATGAAGCCTTCATCAGCAGGACTCCAAAATTTGAGAACCTCAAAAAGAAGTGGTATACACTGCTGGAATGCGGGGAACTTCAAAAATTGATGAATGTTCAGATTCTTTAATGTTTGCTCTACTTCATCATCAATAATCTCGACAAAAGCATCACAATGTTTCCGAAAAGAAGTAACATAACATCTAGATGTTACTGGCCTTTGATACGACATCCTCATCTATAAAAATAAAAAAAATCAGATAAAAACGCAACAAAAGCGCAATTAAAGCGCAACTATACATTTCGTAATTATTTAGCTTTAAAGAATGTTGAAATTCAGAAAAAAAAATATTTGAACATCACATTGAACATATATGCTAGTTATACAATTATTAATAAACCCTAAAATTTAGCATAAAGCGTAAACCTTTCGTATCATTTGTTTCATCCATTTACGAAGAGAAGAAGCTTGAAAAATCAGAAAATAAACATTTGAACATTACATTACATTAAACAAACAATGGTAAAATTATAACTAAACCAAACCCTAAAATTTAACATATAACTTAAACGCAACAAAAGCGTAAGTTAGGCGCAACCATACCTCTTCCTGATTGATGATCTTCTACAATCTCGTCGTCTACCTCCGGCGGGAAGAAGCTATTGCAGAACCGAAGGTATTGGAGGAATCCAAGAGCGCTTACCAGAGCTGAAGTAGCAGTGAAAATGTCGCTTGAAAATAAAATACGCGGTGTTTCCATTCTTTATTTTCCGGAATTCAAATGAACTGAGTTATCGGGTCGGGTCGCTCACTCTGACAAGATATAAAACAAATATATTAAATTAAAAAAACGTCTAACAGATGTTGCATTTCTATTGGCGACCGAACGCAGAGATGAGTTCGGTCACTTGACCCAATAATTTGCCCAAAAATTGACACCCCTAATTAATTAATTATTTACTTATTACTTATTCTACCAATTATTTTCTTAAATGTTATTTTCCTCTTCTCGACTTCTTCGCCTGCTTCGTTACTTCGCCTGCTTCCTTCCTTCGACATAGAAGACGACGGGAGTTCGTTTTTCATTCGTTCGATTTAGCCCGCTTCCTTCGTTGCGATTCCTTCCCGCCCTTCGACGAATTTCTTCGCCTTCGAAGAGGACGGGAGCTCGGTCGCTGTTTGGTAACAATGTTCCTCCCTTTCTCGTACTTCTTTGGTCAAATCCCGTAAATTCGCCGAACCCAAGGATTTAGTAAATCCGGGATTTACGCCAAAAATCGGGTAACGGAAGCTGTGAAATTTAGGGGATTCTCAAATCCCATTTGGCAAGATTTATGCTAAATCCCACTCAAACCCTGCATAAATCCCTTTTCCAAACAGCCCCTTATCCAAACCCTAGTGCTTTTCCTTTGCTGCAGTCGTATTCGCAGTCGCTGACGCAGACGTGGGACAGTCTGACCTTACTTATCCTGATCTTGTTAATCCAGGTTCTGGTGCTCCTGGAACTCTCTCGCTTGGCAGCTCGGGCAAAAGCGGCATTGAATCCATTGATCTTCTTCGATTTCTCAAACTCGTCCTTCTTTTGGCGGTTGGTGAACTCTCTAATTATCATCTTCTCTCAGGGACTGTTTGGCAACAAGTGGGATTTAATTTTAGTGGGATTTAGTAAATCCTGTAAATCCGGATTTAATAAATTCGAAATGTGTTAAATCCTGTAAATCCGACTTTCCCTTGCTGTCGGATCGGATGTTACGACATTTTGATTGGAAGCAAGAACGGGAGCTCGCTGGCTGTGAAGGCGCGCTTCTTCGGCTAAATCCACCGAACCGAGGGATTCAGTAAATCCGGGATTTAAGCCGTAAATCCCTAAATTCGGGATTTAACGCCCGCACAAAAACCGTTTGGCTGGATTTAGCGTAAATCCGACTTAGATCCCACGATAAATCCCATACCAAACAGCCCCTCATTTTTCGTGTAGCTTTAATTGGTTTTTCTCCTTACTCTGTTCTACATGAGCCTTTGGGTGATTAATTTAATGTCATATTCCATGATTTCGTGCATTGTTGATTTATTCATCCCTTGCAAACTCATCATTTGCTGTGTTATTGGCAATTTTCTATGCCCTGATTTTTCTTTGGACTGTGATATTCTATTTAATGTTATTATGAAGACTAAAAAGATGCAAGATGAGTGAAGGAATGTGTTGGTTCATATTTTTAAGAATAAAGGTGATGCACAATAATGTGCGAGTTATAAAGAAATTAAGTTACTCTGTCATACATTAAAACTATGAGAGAGAGTACTTTAGCATAGGTTGTGAAGTGATATTAATGTTTCTAAAAATCAGTTTGGATTCATACTGGGTAAGTCTACTTTGTTGAGAGGTTTGATGAAGAAACATAGAGAGAGTAATAAAGATCTACATATGATATTTATTGATTTAGAGAAAACATTTGATAAAGTTTCAAGAAAAGTGTTTTGGAGAGTTTTAGAAAAGAAAGGAGTTAATAATGCTTATATTCAAGTCATTCAGGATATATATACGTGAGCTGTTACTTGTGTTCAAACACAAGGTGGTTTGACTAAGTATTTCCCTATTTCAATTGGATTATATCAAAAATCAGTTTTATGCCCATATCTTTTTGCTTTAGTCATGGTTGTTCTTACTAGACATTTGCAAGAGGATGTACCTTGATTTATGCTTTTTGTTGATGATATTTTTTCATGTTGATAAGACTAGAGAGGGAGTTGAAGAAAAACTTGAATTATGGAGGTCAACATTAGAGCCTGAGGTTGTCGTTTGAGTACATTTAAAATTGAATGCATGGATTATAATTTTAGTGGTAATAGATCTAGGGGGGATTGCGACTTTGGATGGTCAAGTCATTAAAAAGAGTACACATTTTAAAGATCTCGAGTTTATTGTTCAAAGCGATGATGAAATAGATGAGATATTATAAGTAGAATTCAAGTTGGATGGTTGAAGTGGTGCTTCGGGCCTATTGTGATAGAAAAGTATCCCTCAAATTTAAGGAAAAATTCTATAAGATGGTGATGTTACTTGCAATGCTTTATGACACATAATGTTGGCCATTAAAAGAGAAGCAAAAAATTAAGTTAAGTGTTGTAGAGATGAGGATGCTCAGGTGGATGAGTGACTTTACACTTAGAGATAGAATGTGAAACAACTGTGTACGTGAAAATGTTGGAGTAACTCCATTGGTAGATAAAATTAGAGAGAGTCTCCTTAGATGGTTTGGTCATATAGACCGTCGGTCTTCCAATGGCCTGGTTAGGAAATTAGATGTATTAGATTTAACATATGTTAAGAATGATAGAGGTGGAATTGAGAAGATTGGTTGAGAAGACTTGGTTAGAAAATATTCGAAATAACATTTTTTTACTAGATTTAAATGAAAATTTGACTCTTACTAGGACAAAATAGAGAAATATTTAGGTAGCTGACCCCACGTAGTGGGATAAAGATTTGATGATGTTGTTGTTGTTGATATTCAATTTGGCTACTAGTAGGATTTAATTCAAGTAGGTGTTGATGAAAACTTGAATTATGGTGGTTTTTTTTTTTTTTTGAGTAGATCTAAAATCGAATACATGGAGTATAATTTAGTTATTAATAGATATAATGGTGGCATTGTGACATTGGTTGATCAAGTCATTTAAAAGAGCGCACCTTTTAAACATTTGATTATTGTCTAAAGCGATGTTGAAATAGATGGGGATATTATTAGTTGAATTCAAGTTGGATGGTTGAAGTGAATGAATGCATAGGCCTATTGTGTGATAGAAAAGTACCCATCAATGGAAAAATTCTATAAGATGGTTTAGGGAACTGCAATATTTGGTTGATAGTTGTTTTAAATGGAATTTTGAAAGCTAAGCTGATGTCAAATGATTATGGAAGAACCATTCTTGTATAGATATTCAAGAATAAAGGAATTATTCAAGATTATGTTAGATAGAGTGGAATCAAACAAATGGGCCATGCAATGAAGCTATGACAGAGAGTTATAGAGCATAAACTTAAAAATGGCATCTGTTTTGTAGGATCAATTTGGTTTATACTAGTATAAGCTACTATGGAAGTGAGTTTTGTGCGAAGGAAATTAATAAAAAAATATAAAGATTTGATAGAATGCTTTTTTATGATTTTTATTAATCTTGAAAAGATATATGATTGAACACCACGAGAATGGATTTGGTGTGCATTAAGGGGTTGTTTGGTTGCAAGTATTTAGAATTTAGTTGTATTTAAAATGCAGTGTAAAGTAAATATAATATATTTAGAATACTTATCATTTGATTGATTGTCAAATAAATTCACAATTTTTTTATGCTTGTTTGAAAGTATAATGAATCTAATTTTGTTTATATTTTCTCTTAAATTCTTTTAATATAGTGTTAAAAGATTTAGGCCACTAACTTATGGTGTCGGAGGTGATGACGACAATGCAGGTAATATTAGAGAGGCAAAGGGAGAGGGAGATTTGGAGGTTACATCATTTGGGCAATTGTGTCGTGAGGCGAAACAAGGTCGTGGAAGCTCAAGCGAGATCTCAAGGCAAGGTTGTTGAATATCTTGAGATGAGGCATTTGGATGTTATGAGTAGGGTTTGCCAATTTTTGACCCGACTCGGAAAAATCCGAGTTCAGGTCGACCCGTTTGTGAAACGTGTCGTGTTCAACAAATTGATCCATTTTAAAAAATGGGTTGGGTTCGGGTTGACCCGACAACCCGAAAATGACCCGAAAACCCACTGTCCGAGTTTGCTGCCCACCTCGCTCGAAGCGTCGAGTGCTCTCCTTCCTGCCAGCCCTGCTTTGCGACGTTCGCGTGCTGCTGTTGCCGCCCAAAGTGTCGAGTCAAATCCCAAAGTGTCGAGTCGCGTCGCTGGCTCGCTGCGTCGCGTGCAGTCGCTGCCACCTGTCGCAGCAGCAGCCCGCTACTGCTGTCGTTGCCGCTGCGTCACCGGGAGTAGCGACCGGAACCTGCACGTTTGAGATTTATTTCAAAAATCCAGGCCAGGTCGTGTCAACTCGGCAATCCGCGCGGGTCGGGTCCGGGTTGAAAAAGCCTACCCGTTTAAAAAAACGGGTGGTTTGGGTGACCGTTTAGAGCGGGTCAACTCGGGTTCGACCCGAACCCGACCGCTGACCGAATTGACACCCCTAGTTATGAGGTGAGACGAGGTGCACGACAGTTACTAGGTGTGATGAATTTAGGCTTCACTCGTATTTGGTGATTCTAAAATCATTAAAAATGAACTATTTGGATATTCAGAACCCTCATAAAACATTTGAATTCGTCTTACTCTCAGCCAAATTTTAAATATGTGTGTTTGAATATAGTATACTTGAAATGCTTGCTTCAAATAGCCCGAAAGAAAAGAAAAAAAGAGATGCTAAATGTACGTTGAAATTACTTGCGCTCTCTCTCCCTCTCTCTCTCTCTATCTCTCTCTTCTCTCTATATATATATATATATATTTATTATATATATTATTATATATATATAATATATTATTAATAATATATTATATATATAATATATTATATATTATTATTTATTATATATATATATATTATATATATATATATGGGGTAGTGGCTTGTATTAGATGTAGTTGATAAGCGATGAAAGAGTTTTAAATATAATAAGATTTCATCGTGCATCAACATTAAGGTCATAATTTTTTTTAGTTACAGAGAATGCTTATGTATGTATTTAGAATATGGTTTTTTTGTGTATTCTTTTTGCAAATGATATTATTCTATTTGGTTGTTACATTTGTTGAAATAAAACATTGTAATACTTGAAAAATTTTTAGAATATGAAAAACTTAGAATTAGTAAAACAAATATTGAGTATATGATATGCACTTTTAATTGATGTGGTATTTTAAATATTATATGTATGAAAATGAATATATAATATATATATATATATATATATTATATTATATAATACATATATACATATATATATGTATATATATATATATACATACATACATATATGAGATCATGTAAACTTAATGTTTTATTTAATATAATTATAATTTGGTTGATTATGTTGTATCGACCCCACGTAGTGGGACAAAGGCCTGATGATGTTGTTGTTGTTTGTTGTATGGACCAGTGGTAGGTTGTTAATACTCACTTGTCGCTAAGTTGAGTATGATTAAAATGAAAATGTTAAGATGAATGTGTTGTAAATTTATGAAGGATAAGTTAATGAATTATTATATTAGAAAGAATTTTCGAGTGACATCTATTAAAGATAAGATAGTTGAAAGTAGACTTACGTGATTAGGACATGTACAACAACGGTTAAGAAAATGCTCCCTTTAGATGGGTGGATAAAATTAGTATTGGAGGATTAAAAATGAAAAATGGGTAGTCCTATGGTAACATTGGTTGAAATTTTTTTAAATGATTTGTGAAGAATAGGTTTAACCCCTCGGGCAATGCTCAACAACCGCATCTGAAAAATGAGGATTTATAAAGCCAATCACCAATAGATTGGATAAGGTAATGATGATGTTATTTTGTGCTTATTGAATTTTCTTAATTTCTTTCTTAAGAGAAGCATCATAATGGTTTTGTATGATTTTTTTATACGTTTATTCTATCTTTAGCTTTTTATGATGCAATTCAGTTTTTTTTTCATCTGATGTGAACTTTTGTTGTGCCAGTTTGTGTGGAACTGATGAAGCTCCAAACTTATGCTGCATTTAGCTTCTTGGCAACAACAGCTGCAGTTTACCATGCATTCAGCAGTAGAGGGCAGTTTTATCCTGCGATGGTTTACTTATCTACATCCAAGATATGTTTTGTACTTCTTTTGAACATGGGTTTAGTCATGATGTGCATTACATGGCAGTTAGTCAAGCGCTTTTTTCTTGGTTCTCTTAGAGAGGCAGAAGTTGAAAGATTGAATGAGCAATCTTGGAGGGAGGTCATGGAAATTCTTTTTGCTATCACGATATTCAGACAAGATTTTTCAGTCATGTTTCTTGCTATGGTTACCGCTCTTCTGTTGATCAAAGCATTGCATTGGTTGGCTCAAAAGAGGGTTGAGTACATTGAGACAACTCCAGCCGTACCTAAATTATCTCACATTCGGATTGTTTCTTTCATGGGATTTCTTCTTCTTGTTGATTGTCTCTTCTTGTTTATTTCTTTAAAGTCATTGATACAGACCTGGGAAGCATCAGTTTTCCTCTTCTTTGCTTTTGAGTAAGTTAATGATATACATCTTAGTTAGCAATAGAAGGGAATAAATATTCTTGTAATTAATTTTCATTTTTCTAAAAGTTAGAGCGGTATCACACTTCTTTATATAAGAAACTATCAAGGGCTCAAACAAATCCTAAAGCCAATTAGTGTATGGTTGTTGGTCTACTAGTTGCTTATCACTATTAAGAGCCATCGCACTAGCTTTTTGGAAGGGTTATTACATACCTCTAATTTTTAGATAAGTACACTCTAGCATACGCAGCTTTATTCCTAATTAGGGGTAAAAAAATTGAATGTGAACTACTATAATTATTATCTGAAGTTCTGCTTTCTGGAAAAAGTTCAACGGAGTTCAATAACCTGATGTGTAGTTATATTTATGTACAGTGTTTTGGTATTTAACAAAGTTATTTATCTTATACTGTAATGTCACATAGTTGGAGTTATTTAGGCAGTTCCATGAAATGTAGCACACGTTAAGTGGAAATATTGTGCAATTTACTCCGGCTTAGTAATGTTTCTTATTTAAAATGGTTACCTAAAGATAAATAAAGTTGTTATCTTGATTATTGTCAGAAAATAAAAGTAGTTTGAAGGACAAAATGTGGCTAAAATAGCATGGCTAGATGTTGTACAAACAAAATAGAATTAACATCTCACGGAGCACTTATGCAGGAATTAAAGAGAAGGATGATTTTTAAAGCCAGTTTTGAATTGTAGAGATAAGGCTAGAGATGGTGATGGTGATGATGATGATGATGGTGATCAGTAGTATTAGAAAATATTGGGAAAGTATATATGGGAATGACGTGCAGTTTTAGATGGTGTTTTATAGATGTTGAAATTTTCTAGCTTGACTTTTATGATTGGTAGCATCTACAACAACAACAACAACAACATCAAGCCTTTGTCCCACTACTTGGCGTCGGTTACATGAATCCTTTTTCGCCATTTTGTCCTGTCAAAATCTCATTTAAATCTAATAAAGAAAGATATGATTGGTAGCATCTGATCAATGAAAAATATCAATGTTTGTGCTTTTCTGCATTATTATACTGTTTAGAGATCAATGGTAGGAAACCTTGGTAATAACTTTTTATGAAAAATAAATTATTTGCATGCTTCTAGGGATTGTGATTTATTTAAATGGTATTATGTTTTTCAGTAAAATTCAAGCTTGTGTGAGGTTTGGGTTCTATAAGAAGGAAATTCTTGAGATCCACATGATAACTACATGATTTTACTGCTTTTGAAGGCCTTCTGAACTTAGCATTGCCACATAACAGCGGTGCGCTGCATATAGAGGCATGCATAACAAAGGCAGGTGATCTTAGTTGGCCTAGTTCATAATATCTTGATCTTCCTACAGCTTAATCTGTGTCATTCATTAACTTTCTTTTTGCTTTTTGGGTGGTGGTGTGATGGAGTGTTGGCTTAAGTTGAGAATATGTTAGAAGATTAGGAAGGGACACGCTTATATATGAGAGCTAAGTCCTGGAATTCTTAACATCTATTCTATTGTTTCCAATCTTTTGCCTTGCAAAAGTGTAACCTAGCTGGTTCACTGGTTTTGTTTTGCATTAAAGTTAATTGTTTCTGACGTCCTTGACTGCAGGATCCTTGCTCGTAATCCCATACCTATGCTTGAAACATGCTTCACCCATGTTCTTGTATATTTTTTAACCAAATTCAAATTACGTAGATGTTCATTGGACAATTTGCTTCAGTTTTTCTTGTTATGAAAACATTCTTCAACGATGGTATATACTGTGATGAGCATGAATTACATGTCTCATTTCGTCAGTTGTTTAGCTCCATTAGTTACTGTTGATGCTTTTGCCATTACTAGGGCCTCCTACCTTAGTCTGATTTGTGTTTTCTTTTGTTTTCTAGATACACTATACTGGCTACAACAACAATTTCGACTTTTGTAAAGTATGTTTTCTATGTTAGCGACATGCTTATGGAAGGGCAGTGGGAAAATAAGGCAGTCTATACATTTTACTTGGAGCTTGTTCGTGATCTTCTTCACTTGTCGATCTATATAGTATTCTTTCTTGTGATCTTTGCGTAAGTACTCGATAACATAATGTTATGATGAATAAACAAAATTTAAACTTAAATTAACATTTTTGATAGTTGTTGGTGCTGTGTAGTATGATGCTTTTTCCCTAAAAAATAGCGGCGTTGAATCTTAAACATTATGTGCATAATACCTTTTAAAGTTTTTATTTTCGAAATTTTGTTGTAGGTTACTTATATTTGGTTTCAGTGGTCAAGCTGAAAATGCTGTCTTTCACTTGGTCATAGGTTTTTTATTTTAATCTCTTCAATATATGAAATTTTGTCCCATTTGATTTATACGTTCATATTAACTTCATTTTTCTTTAGCTGTTTCCATATATTCTTTTTAAATTTTTCTCTTGATGGAGAACAGGAAGATAGATTGATATATTTTTTATAAATTTTAATATTTGTTTTGAAGTTAGAGGTGCTAGTATGGTGCAGGGTGGTATGCGGTAGACTGGTAATTAGATTTATTCGAGTTTCAACGTTTGAGTGTCATTATATTGTCTTTTATTTGCGTTAGAAGGTCATCAGTTTAGTACGTTGACATTCCTATAGTTTTAGAGAAAAAAAATTGGACTTAAGTAAATATTTTGATTGATTTCTATATGAGTTAGATTGGAATTTATGGAAAATGAATGGGACAATAAATGAGAAGGCCAGAGTTGCAGCCTCTTTGAAATTCTAGGAAGCTGGAGTCTAAGTCTTCCCTTGGAACAATTCTATGAACCCTATTAATGCGAGGCTAATAGACATCCTTCCTCTTAGTACTGATTCAACTCTAGTTATGTATTGAATTTATACCATATGACGCCAGTTTCTCTAGCATTCTAGTTTTTGAAATATGTTGCATGTTTTATTTTTGTTGCCATGTCAAGTTTCATTTGGGAGTTCAGCATTTGTAATGTTCTGTTAAATGAAGTTTAACTATTGGCTTTGGCATATATTTTCCTAAATCAGGAGCTATGGTGTGCCTCTGCACTTGATCCGTGAGCTTTACGAAACATTCCGCAGCTTTAGAATGCGTGTTGCGGATTATATTCGTTATCGCAAAATCACTTCGAATATGAATGAAAGGTTTCCTGATGCAACAGCTGAGGAACTTAATGCGTAAGCTTATTATCAATTTGATTGCTTCCAGTCTTATGTTTTCTTTTAATTGAATTGATAATTTGTTCCACTGTACTGCAAATATAGAAGTGATGCAACATGTATCATATGCCGCGAAGAGATGGTTACAGCAAAGAAGTTGCGCTGTGGTCATCTTTTTCACGTGCATTGTCTTAGATCATGGTTGGAAAGACAGCATACTTGCCCCACCTGTAGAGCCTTAGTTGCTCCTCCTGAAAATGGTTCAGCAGCTGTTGTGAATCAACAAGCAGTTCCTTCTGATCTTCAGCCTGGTAAGTTTTCTGTAATCTTCCCTGTCATCATACAAATACCATTTTCAAATGACTTTTCAGTGCCTTTGTGTTAATTTTCTATCCTGATCTGTAAGGATCAGGAATTTCAAACCGCAGCTACTGTTGTTTTCTAATATGATAATACGAGAGAAAGGACTGAATATGTCCTCTTAACTTTTTTTGAAGGACTAAAAGTCTCTGATTATATAAAAATGTGAATTTTGTCTGTTGACTCTTTAAATAAGCCAATAAGGACAAAATTAGTTCTGTGAAATCATTTTAATCCCTATTTAAAATGTCGAGGTACTAAATGGGATTTTTCAATAGTCGGTGACTATTTTGATCATTCGTATAGAATGAGGGGATCATTTTGGTCCTTATCTCACGATAATATTATTGCCTGAAATTTTTCTTTTGTTCTTTCACTATGGAAATTGTTTCATTGAAGTTCTTTTGTCCCTATGAAACGCGGATGGATGATGGCATTGCTTCAATTGTGTTGTCATGTTATCATGATAGTTGTCATATATTATTTTTGTTAATTAATTGATTTGTTTAATTAATATTTAATTTCTTAAGCAGTACATGGCTTTTAGTTGTCTTTTGAAAAGGATAAATGTTTTCATAAGTTGAATGAAGAAAGGGACGTGCTGGTGTTATGAATATTACTATAAAAATAAGTAAGAGATGCTATTGGCGTGTATTGGGGAACTTTAGGATTTCATTGTGGTGAGGGGGTAGTTGATTGATGCAGTTGGATATGTTAGATTTTTTGTTCGGAATTCGGTACTTGTAGAGCTCAAACTGATCTACATATCAAAGGCGACTTCATTTGAAAGCAGAACTATCATTTATCTCTAATATACAAACAGAGATAGCTGCTTAGTCCCATATGATGATAAAATGATTTGATATTTGGACTATTCTTTATTGATAGAAACCAAGGCTTCATTTGGTAGGTTTAGCTTAAAATCTCTTAGATCTCGTTAATACAGATATCTCTGAACTATGAATGTGCTGTATCATGAATGTGAAAAATCTTTATGTGACCATTTTTCCATTGATTTAATTGATTAGTGATGCTATGAAGTTTTTATTTGTTTTCTCACGGGCATGAATTACTTCAAGCACTTTCTAAATTGAAGCAGAGAATCAAGCCAGTTTAACATATGTCTAATCACTGTGTTAATGAGTTACTGTTGATCAGTTTAGGCAATTGCATGAAGAAAATTGGATAAACCAATAGTTGGCGAGTTTTTATGCTTCACGACAAAATAGTATGACAGATTGAAGAAACTGAACTCTGTATGGTAGGTTTATATGGCTGATGCATCTTGAAGTAAAAAACACCAAGTAGGCAATAAGAAAAAAGTAGGAATGCAAAGAGTAGGGCTGAAATATGATTATTTCTTCAACAAGATAGAAAGATACAATTGATCTACCATTCGAGAGGTAGATCAGCTCTCCCACGAACTCTAGATGCCGCTAGGAAGCTCTTCAAAATAAAACAACAACAAACACAAATTATCTCATGCCCTAACTGATGTGAAACATATATGGAAACAGGAATTGCTTAGGAATTAATAACAACTTGTTAAGTTTAGCTAATTTTAAACTAAATGTTTCACCAAGATAGGATTCTAGGAGTTCTTAGTTGCATTAGGCTTTGGTAGTTAGTTACACAAAAGATTAGTAGAACAATTTAAAATAAGAACAAAAATTCGTAATAGATCTAGATGCAGAATAACAAAATTTACCGTTTAACAAATAGAAAATTCACCTTCGAGTTTTCCTCTCTTTTGCTCTTGATAGTGGGGTTAGCAGGAGAACAACTTCAACAATCCTAGAGATGCCACCGAAAGAAAGAGAACGCCGACAATCTTGATTCACGGAAAGTTAGCCGGAGGGGAAGACGCGGGTAGATGTCCGATGATTCACCAATGTCCGGAGGGTTGGTGTTCTTCAATAGAAGATGTCAGGGTGAAGAAGATGCGGTCATCAATGTTAAAATCTTATTTTTTAAGTTTTATCCACTTATTTTATTGGTGCATCTTTAGTTGTCAATGTTAAATTCAAAAACTATCCCAAATTATCTTCGTTATCTCACCTTCAATAGATACTACTCTCGTTATCTCTTTAATATAAAATTGATTTCATTTTATCCTCTCATTTTACCGCACTTCCATATTTTTGGTACATTTAGTCTTTATTATTATTATTTTTCCATAACACGTGGATTCATATACCATTGTTGGTAAACTAGTAGTTTCATAAAATTTCCTTTCAAGTTCACATAATGTCCATCTTATTATATGGCGAGGCATTATTCTTTTTAACATGCCAAATTTAACTATTGAATTTATGTCCTTTCCCAGCTTTAAATATGCAAAAAGTTCTATATAGTAGAAAATAAATTGCAATTGTATTATTAGATGTACAAGTTGAAAGCATACCAGATATCGTTTGAATAAATTTGAAACATATTCCTAGTTTTTTTTTTTTTTTTGAAAATTTTTAGTAGTATATGAACCATTTGGTGTATTCAGCTGATCTTTTTGAAAATTTTTAAATTAGAAATGCAACTTGGCATATCCAACGTGGTTTCTTTTCCATAGACAATCCAAGTTTTTTGGTCTCCCAAAAATGTTAGATTGGCCATTCAACCACTTGGAATTATTTTTTCTACTAGGGGTGTGATATTGATTGTTTATTGTGATTGGAAGCAAAGTATTACAGATGCAAACAGGATACAGAACCTTCTAGATAAATTGTTTTTTGGAAGTAGAGCTAATCTACTTGGTTATTTCTGTATGACGTTCACTTGAATGACTTCACCTCTAATGAAAAAACTTCCTTGATATTCAACTTCCATCACTCGGATCATGCATATAGTCTACTGACGGATGTCTCTTCCGCATTTTGACTGCTTTCATTTCCTTTGAAGTTTGAATATGCCAATTATGGTTATTTAGGGTGTTACACCCCAAGTTAGCGATGATGAACAACTCATGGTTTTTGTTTTTGTTCCAGAAATTTCTAGGCATATTTATAATGTACAGCTTTTTAAGTATAATAGAAAAATGTTGTCGATGCTCCGTTTTTGTACTTCTTGCATGATTTCATTTCTGGTATTGTTGTGCTTTAATTTGTTTGATCAAGTATGCTCGATGTTATTGTTGATCAAGTATGCCCGATGTGGCCTTAGTGCTTCTTAACTTTGGTCGTAAGTTTATGCTCTACATATCATGTGTTTGAAATTTATAGATATTTATAGACCTGTTATTTTTTACATGAACTAAGAATAGAAATTACTTTGCTCATATAGATTAATGCCTGCCTTATTTATATCTCGCTGCTTCCTGGTTGAACGGAAGTTGCACTGAAAATCAGATTTGACTTTTTATGTTAACAGGACCAGCAGTGGCTGGGACTACACAGGCTTCCGAAGCTGGTGCAGCAAACCAAAATCAGTCTCTACTTCAAGCTGCAGCCATGGCTGCTAAAGTGTATGAAAAATCTTTTGTCCATCTTCCAACAAACCAGTACATTTGGTTAGTTAAATTTCATCTCAGTCTATTCTATCTTTACTTGAGTTTTTTTTTAATAGTTTTTGAAAGATCTCTATTAGTTTCTCCTTGTTATTAGACTAGCATTAAACATTTAATCTGATGTATTTGATGCCGTAATTTTTTGTACTTTATGCGCATATTTGTTTACAGTTTTTTAAAAAGTCAAATCATGTGTACTTCGTATGAATGTCTTATTTGCAAAAAACTATCCTCGGTTATTTGGTATTGCTTTTGTAGTGTTCATAGAACTTTTGACTTATGTATTTGCGATTTGATTTCTGGTTATTCCTGGGCATGGTGGGCTTGGTTTGGTATTGCTTTTCAAGTGCTTTTGCTTTCAAAAACTGACATCGAAGTTTTTTATTTTTATTTTATTTTATTTTATTTTTGGTTTTGGAAACGTGCTTAAAAAAAAAAACACTATTCTACACATCATCCTCCATGGCTTCAAAAACATAGGCAACACACTAATGCAGCGAGACACCCTAAATTTGAATTTATTACATGTTTAGTTACGTTGTTTTTCATTTTTCATGTCATTTTCCTTTATTTCTCAGTCAATTATTAGTAGATAGTGTCATTATCTATTAGACTAGTCTGATATTTCCTTATTTGTTGAAGGGTAACGTATTATCATTTTGAACGAGCCCTATTAAGTAGTGCTTAGGTTCATGTAATTTAGATTGGTGATTAGGGAAGTATCTTGATTCCGTCTGCATGGAATTTGGTATCTTTTGATGAATTTTTCATGGTTCCCTTTTATTTTTGTGCATTGTACTTTTATGGATTCTGTGTCCTTGCCAAAAGGAATCGGCAACTAAATGCTTGAGGATTCAACATCAAATAGCTTGAGGACTCAATGGTACCTGCTTCCTTGTCACTCTTCTCCTTTTCTCCTGGTTATCAATAAGTTCTCCATTACAAAGCATGTTCTCCGTCTATTTGCAACCTAGCTTCGTCCAGGGAAATCTTAATCCACATCAATGCATAAGAAGTGTGCGATTAATTTTCAATGGTGTGTTCAAAGACTTTTTTATTCAAAGATCCCCATCACAACTCCATCATGTTCTTCCCCTAAATCCATTACTATTGAGCTCTTCTTCCCTTTTAACCTCTTTGATCACTGTTCACGTCCCTCATTATCTCTTTAATAAATAGTAAAATTGGCGCACACATTCCAATACACGTCAATCTTCCTCACCTATCCCTACCAACTAATACTCTCTGTCTCTACTCAATTCAAATTTTATTTCAAATTCAAAACCATAACCTTTCCAAATCATTTTCTACAGTCCACCTTTCAAAATTTTAAATCTAAATTTCCTCCTAATTTTCTCCTCCAAAAAATCATCCTTCTCCTTTGAAATTGATTACTTTACAAAACAAAAATAAAACTCTAGCCGACTTTCAACAGCCCAACCCAATTTAATTTTGTACTCCATAACAACTTTTGGCACGTCGTCATAACTTACCAACATGATATTTTTTGTCAAATTGTTACTCATTACGTTAACAGTAATATTTTTTCCCCTAAACTCTTCCTTGTATTACAACCAAGCTCTTTATGAATAAATTAATTTAATTATCCATTTGACATCATTTATAAAGCCAACATTATCCACTCATTTTTCTCATCTTAACTTACAAAAATATACCGAGTTCAACCCTAATTGATGTAACTCACCCTATTGTCAACGGTCCCAACCTAGTTAGAAAAATCTAATTGAGAATACATAACTAGACCAACCTAGGTAACCAAATTTAATTAACCTAACCCGAGCCAACTGCGAGGCTAAAGAAAAAGGAAAAAAAAAAAAACAGTTTTTGTTAGTCACTTCAATTGATTCTACTACTATTCATCAAGACACTAAAGGTCTTAGAAAAATTCTTATATAGATGATTGATATTTTGTTTCATGAGGATCTATGTTGAGAATCTTATATTGATATTTTGGCAGGTTAAGTGGCCCTCCTTTGTCTCTCATCTTGGGATGGAATTCCCATTGGTCATTCATGCTTTAGAATAGATTTTCTAGTGTCTCTTCTTTTTGTGGGATGGATTCTTTGCTTATTTAACAACCCAATAGAGGATTTTTACTTGCTCCTTTATCTGTAGTTAATTCTTCATTATAGTTCTTGCAACCTTGAGGAGTTGATTGTGGCCAAACAAGCGATATATTACTATAGTTGTTTTTATGCATGCTCTTATTATTCATCATGCCATTTGTTCATATTTATTTTTATAGTAATTGTTGGGTGTTGCTGTATTATTTATTCATTAGGATTAGTGCATAATTTTTTATTTAGGTTTATCATTTTAAGCAAGTGTGTCTAGTGTCATATAATGCTAAAGTTGATTTTCTATGAAGCACAGACACTATGACAGACACGGCACAATCATGGCGACACAGCATAATTGTAAAAAGGGCACGACACCATCACCAACATTTTATATTGTTTAAATTATTAATAGAAAATGTGTAATTTATAGTATTTTCTTTTAAAGGTATCATCCATTAAAATATGATATCATATGCATACACTTCACAGAAGAAGTTACTAATACTAAAAGAGAATTAAATAATATTGATAATAAAGAAATGTTTTATGACATGTGACAATTATCATTTGCTAGCAATACTCCACTATTAGCATTTATTAATCTTTGTTAGTCCTCACATATTTTGTGTGTGTATTGATATCTTACGCATGGGGCTGCCCTTGACAAATGTTTTTGTGGCTTGTTGAGCCATGCCCAAATCATGTTGGGTCTTGTATGACTGATGTTAAAATCTAATCTTATCTTGAAACACTTTTGACCTAATTTTGAGTGTGTTAGACACTTGACAGGGCTTGTCACGTGTCATGCTCGATGTGGGCACGATATATTTATGAGTGTCTATACTTCCTAGGTGATTATAGGAGTATCTTGATTCCTGACTGTATGCGATTTACCACAACTTGAAGGGTTATTAAAGATTCATACATCCATCTCTATGATTTGAAGATTCAACACCTAGCCTCGAAGTTCTAACAACACATTGCTTTGAGGATTTGTTGTGTGTATTCAAAATCAAACATCTAGAGGATTTGTTATGTATCTTCTTTCTTATCGCTCTTCTTCCTTTTCTCATTTGATTGTTCAAGAAAAGTAGAAATATGAAAAACAACTTCGAATTTTTTTGCTCTCTTTTCTTACACATATTAGAGATATTTATAAGCGCCTCCAAACATATTATATATGAGAAAAGGTAAATGATATTTACATAAAATAATTAAAAAAATCCAAAAAAGAGGGCTAATGGCTAACAGAATTGAGAGGAGTACATGAATTGCAATCTGAGGGTTAAGAGGGAGAAATTTCAATTACAAAGCTCCTCAATTTGCATGCATGATAGATCATATTATGATTGTTTGCATAGTGGGGCGGTGGGGCCTATGGCTTCTATGCCTAGGACAAAAGTTTGGATTGGGCTGATGTAAGGAGGAGGTGGAGGATTGGGCCCCGCAATTTTCAATACTCCCCCTCAAATTGAATGTGTAAATCTATAATTTAAAATTCGCTTACAATATTCTAGAATATGGGTTTGTAAAATTCTTTGATGAATATATCGGCAAGATGATTTTCTGTTGGTACACATAATAAAAATTAACCCACTCTCTAGTTTCTTTTTTACAAGCTTGGTATGATCATGTTATGCTGGGTTATGAGCATTATCACTGTATATTTTTATTCGCTCTTCCGGTCTTCCCATTTGATTTTTAAATCTTAAAAATGGTTTTGAGCTGTAAGAGTTTGCAGATTTATTGGGCAATTACTTTTACTTCAGATTTAGCATTAGATATTGAAATATATTCATATAAGAAGATTTCTTTGCATCTTAATATTGCATAGTAGCCTATGGAGAAATCAATATTTGAACAATATTAATTTTACAACAGGTGCAAATGTTCCTTGATAGTCAATTCTATGGAATTGACTATATACTTTGGGTACTAATATCTCCTTGTTCTGTTCTAGACTCCTATTTGCCTTATAGTTTATAAGAAAAATTCACTTGCATCTTATCATTTTTTTTCCTTACAGTAGTTCAACAACTGCCCAAATATGAATTTTTTTGGGAGGGCATTCATCTCATCTACCATGACTTCCTTTCAATTTATGTTTTCATTTGCCTAAAATAGGTTTTGTGGTATAGAAATGAAACTGGAGTTGATATTTGTCAGGAAGGTCTTATATGAAGGAGAAATTATAGAATGATGAGTATTAGGAGACGGGCCACCAAGAATTAATGATGGGTTGATTGTTATTACTTGATAAAGATTTTGAGATTGAGCTTCACTGGAGAGTCTAGTTGTGCTTATTTCTTCTTATGTAATTTGAAGAGGTGCAATGCTTGGATTTGTTAGGATTTGTGTCGTAGAGATGTCAAGATGAAAGTTAGAGATTTCATTAAACTTATCCTATAATTGAAAAGTTCTCCCATTGAGGATGAGTTTTGATAAAAAAAAAATTTCTTTTTCATCAAAAGTGGGATAAATGCTTGATATTGATGTCGATCAAAAGTGGCGTCCATTAATGTAAGGAATTTTTTATGGTAGGATAATAACACTTATGCCCTTTTTAGTGCTAGAATGCCCAATAAAAACACATTTGAGGGCTTTAAGATTTGGTTTACCCCTATGTTGTTTGTGGATATGGATAGAGGCAATGCACCCAAATATTTTTGGAGGAATTTTTGAGAGGAAGTTGTTTTGAGGGAAAAATTTTGTTCAATGTTTTAATTAATTTTGAAGTCAATAACTTTTGAGGGTATTTTATTGATCAGGTAAGTGGTAGGTAGGATAGCTTCTTCCCAATATATTTTTGGTATTTGGTTCTTTGGTGACTTTAGAATGTGGTGATTTTTTTTGTAATCTCATTTTGTTGTGGAGTTTTAGAGCATGAGGATTTGTGAATGATAATTTTTTTATGAAAGAAAAAAAAGATAATTTGTGATTGAAGTAATTACAACAATTATTTATCCAAAATATTTTGATGTTGTATTTACTTGATTTTTTATCATGATTGTGATTGGGGAGAATAATGTTGACTTTAGATTTTTATTTTATGAGATATATCTGTGTCATTCTAGTGCAATCATCAATACAATGATAAATCCAATAGTTTAAAAAATGTTGAGGATTTTGGAGGGTCCCCAAATTTCAGAATAAACTAACATAAAAGAAGTGGAGAATCTTGAATCATATTCAGAAAAATAAAATGATGATATTTTACAATTCGCAAGGCTCATAATGAAACTTTTTAATGTTTGTTTTTAGAAAAAAGGAATGATAAATTGTAGAGTTTTGAAAGAGTGATGCCCTATCCTATAATGATGCTCCTTGATGTTTTCATTATTGTGGGTGGAAATGTCAAGCGGTTTCTATCTTCAAGAAGATATAGCTCTTCATTCTCTCTAGCTTGCTCAATCGCCTTCCCAATAGTAAGATCCTAAAATATAGAATGATTAAAAAAAAGTTACCTTGTAGTTAGGGTCTTTGGTAATTTTTTGGATCAATAAAAGATTTGCTACAAGATAAAGAATATATAATACATTACTAAGGGTAAATACGAGGGAAATTAAAATATTGTTTTGACTTCCAACAGTTATTAAGAAATTATTTCCCACTTTTTTTTTGTAGTACTAGGATAATGTTTGTAGTTTTGAAAGATGTTGGCAAGGTTTTCATGTGATAAATGACTCTTGAACCTAAGATCTAGTTTTTTTTTTGGTTTGGGGGTTGAAGAGCATAATTCATATGGTTTTTCTAGGGACTCAAGTTTCTTAGATTGTCAATTTTTTAGAGTTGAAACTTTTTGATTTAACAATACAGGCTTGTTCTTTTTGATATCCTTAGTTCCATCATAGCTTTGGAGCTTTTTTGTGGATTTCCCAACACTTATTTTAATGTTTCCATTTTTTTTGGTAGTAGTTATACCATATATTGCCTTTGAAAGAAGGCTTTAAACATTTGTGGAAGAATCTATGGCAGCAAATCTCATATCTTGGGATTCGATGGGTGGTCATAGTAGATTTTTTGAAGAGTGGAGCGTCAAGCTTTGTCGTTTTTCTTCCTTTTATGACTTGTGTAAAACAAAAAATCTCATTTAGGGATGATAGATTTTCTCTTAAAATTTGGATACAAACATTGTTGAAGCTATATTATTGAGTCATGAAGGAACTCAAACACTATTTCTTTTTTTGTAAATTGTTTGAAAATTAACGTATCATCGCGGCACGTCATATTTAGATTTTGACAGTAATCTAGTTCAAGCTAATAAACTTTAATGCCTTAAAATATTCAATAACATGAATGTTATCCTGCTTGGTTGTTAAGATCTTAATTTTGATCTCATAGATGAGCCATTGTTCATCACTTTTGAGTATGTTTTACGACGTCTCAAACTTCTTTTGCATTAGACGTGAATATTTACGCCCCACTGATTTTAGGCATTATAGCATATACAATCATGTCATTATCATGGAATCAATTTCATCCCAAAATACAAAATTCATGTCCTTCGGCTCCGGAGGATCCATAATTGATCTTTTTCTTTTCTTTTTGAAAAATATTCACAATTTGATACCACATAAGATAATTTCATTCATCAAACAATATGGGCTTGTAGTCTCTTGAGTTCTCTCTTTGTTTGATAAGTAAGAAGTAATAACAAATTTTAGATAGAACTCAAGAGAGAACTCAAAGAAACGTAGCCTCTTGAGTTCTTGAATTCTTGAGTAAGCAATATGGGCTTGTAGCCAAAGTAATTTATCATATTTTTACGTTTCTTTCTTATCGGAATATGGACTTGTAGCCAAAGTAATTTATCATATTTCTACGTTTCTTTCTTATCGGAAACGATGTTAATCAATGAGTGCATGTATTTCTGTGTATTTTAACAGCACTAGCCAAAGGCAGAACGATATATTCTTCACTTTGTATTGTAAAGACGGACCTTCATCTGAATTCACTACCTCTTTGTATATTGAATGGCGTCTATGAAATCGTTATGTTATCCTTTGCTTCCTTTTTTATTAGCTACCTTGTTATATACTATCATAATTACTGAATAATTTAATACGTATTTGCTTTTTGGTATCTGAAAGTTTGATTTATATGGATTGTGAGCTTGTAATAATTTTTAATTTAACATTTCAACCTAGTCTTTAAACGAAGTATATACTCGACACCTTATTTGATGTTCTAGATTTACTTGCAACCCCTAAATAGATATATTTTAGTTGAGGTTAATTAAATTATTTTGTACCCAAAGGAATGTAATTCTTTGTTTTTAAATGTATTCCAATTCTATTATTTGTATTCCAAGCCTTATTATATGTATTGAAGGTTGTTGTAAGTTGTGTTTTATTCTTTTTGGGCTTTGCGTATCAAGCTTCAAAATATCCTTTGTGCTTTGGAAACACTGATAAGTAACATCATCAAGTCGCAATCTTAATCATCCATATTTGAGAATTGAGATCAATAAATGTGGCTTATGTCAAACATGAAGAAAGAATGCATAAATACTGTTGACTATAACCGTAGCATACGACCGACTCCACGTCAGTGCATGACTCAACCGACCAAAATCACCGACTCATGCTACTTGTAGCAAGATCCTCTCCCGTTTAAAATTAATTGCCTTGGGACACATTAGGCACTCTGTGGAGTATTACCTAAGGCGCTCAGGTTCTAGCTCCTCAAATCTGGGCACCAATTTTTTTTGTGTTTATCAAGTATCCAATGCACTAAGACTTGGCGAATGAAAAGACCAGATTTGCCCTATTTAGATTAATGAACCGAGCAAAGTTTATAATATTGCTTTGAGTCAGGAGGAAAGTGACTTAAAACAATTAATTTGTATGGATTTATGTAATTTTTTTCAGAACATCTTGACTACTTGTTTCAACTGTATTAGTGTCACCTATCTAGATTATTAGCGTTGAATGCTTCCGTCTCATATTATTATATGTTCCCTTTATAGCCCGCCAGGTTATACCGTACTTCCCCAGATTCCCAAAGCAGAGGCTTCAAATGGGCAATTGCTGAAGAATCAACCTATTTCCAATCAACACAATGCTGCGCTTTTTCAAGTTCCAGGATCCAGCATTGGCTTCAGGGAGACAACCCTTGGCAATTCAAATCTACAGGGTTCTCCTCTAAAAATTGAGAAACTGATTCAGAGTCAAATTGAGGTAAAATACCTGACACAGTGGCTTAATTTTATATCTGTTTTGTGTCCTGTTACTCCATGGGATACTATTGGAAAACATCATATAATACCAGTAAGTTCAATCACATACTGATATGAGTGGAGTCATCGTACTATAGAATTTCCATCAAGCCTTTGAATTTCAATCAAACTAAACAACGAAGACTGGTGCATACTCCGTTACACGTCTATATATACAGGTCATGATAATGCCTTAGGTTTCGTTTGGGACGGCTTTCTTATTTCTTTCAAAAACAACTTTTTTTACAAAAAAAATTTGAAACTAAAAAAATTTGTACTAAAAAGCTGCTTCATAAAGCAGTAACAAAGCCGTCCCAAACGAAACCTTAGTTTGACATATGCTATTCAATGGCCGACTCATATTATCTGAAGGATACAATAAATAAACCTGTAATCCCTATAGAAAATTTCAAGAGTCAAAAAAAAAAAAAAAATCGTCATATTTTATGTGCAGAATGTTTCATATATAAATCTTGCTGAAAGTTTATTTATAAATTTTTTTAGGTATGATTACATTTCTTCTTTTATGGATTTTAAACTGTTTAATTGGCCATTGGGTTGGTTTCATTTTGGTCCATTATAATCCCAATTCGCAAAAATGGACAAATTTATAGAAAAAATATTACAATATTACCACATAAATTATTATATCTGATTGCTTATAGTTGAAGCAAAATTATATTTGCAGTCTTGTCTGTCATTGTGCCATGATGGTACTTTTTGCAACTTAAATTCCTCAGTTTGGTGCACAAAGTCGATTTGATATCGTTTTTTATTATGTTAGCAACTAGAAGTTCTTAATCCTTTTAATCTTAGCTAGCTACAAGCCTTATCTTTCTTAAAGTCTATATTTATTTGTTGGGAAATTTACATGCATACTACTTTATAACATCCTATTACATATCTAATGCCCAAAACTTTAATATTACATACATACCACCTTATATTATTTTAATATCAAATATGCCACTCATTTTCACATATTTCATTTTTACCACTCATATTTGATATAAAAATAAATTATGGGTGGTATGTATGTAATATTAAAGTTTTAAGTATTAAATATATAAATAGAATAGTATAGAATGTTATGCATGTAAATCTTCATCACCGATCTTCGCTTCCAGCTAATAATATTAATATTGCACTTGGCATAACAGCTTCTTCAAGCCCAGCTACAAGCTCTTGAACAACTGATGGCCGAGCAGTCAAAAGCGAAGAGCGCTGCTGCATCAAGCAGTAGTAGTGTGCCTGCATCATCTGACTGTGGTTGTCATGGGGAGGCTGAAGATGCTGACACAGATTAAGCCTTAATATCCGAAAGATCGATAGAAAAATAAACATTAGTAAGTAATATGCAAACATGGTAAGTTAAAAAGAGCTGTTTTAGATCAGTCATGCAGATGTGAAATAAGTTGGAATTGTAGATATTGGAACCTCTTTCTTTGGGTTTCTATGGATTTTTATGTTTGATTAAGGATATTTTCACAGATTATAATTTCTACTGATTGCTTATTTGTGTTTGAGAGAAGTGTGAGAGGACTGGAGACTGATCATAATCTTTTCAATGTTTATATTTGACAGAATAATTTTGAACTTTTGCAAGAATGGATTCAATCTGATGCAGCTTTTCTCTTTGATCCATACATTTGTTGTGCTATTTGATTTCTTTCCTTTGCGAAAATAGATGAAGTAGGAGATTCATTATTACTACATTTTAAATAGGACCCATTAGCATTAGTTTATTCATTATCACTACATTTTTAATATGCAAATTTTTAAAATAAATTATTGCTAATATAAAATATATTTCAAACCCTCTTTAAGGGGCAATATTCTTGAAATCAAGAATATAGTGGTTGCAGCTACTTCCCAATTCAGATCATTTTAATATGAAATAACAATTATGCAAATTTTTTTTTTTTAGGAACATGAACTTATGTTAATGTTGTATCCAACATTTGTTATCATAACATGCCCTATGAAGCACCAGCCCAGTTAAAAGATACATAGAGCAATTGGGCAAAAGCTTAAAAGTAAATCAAATCCTCTATTGATTCCATTTGCTTACTTTCTTTCCTCTAGAAAATGCTAAGATCTTACAAGCAAGGATTTATTTGAGACAAATTTTTTTGCTATTTTTTAAAATAATATTTTAATAATTTTTTTTTTTAAAATAGTGAACAAACAATCATAAAAATTGTCCCAAATGAAACCTGATATTATTACCCACAAAGGCTTAGGGTGATTAGTGAGCGAGCACGGTTGAAAATCCCTCATCCCGAATTTGATTCCCCTCCAGTGGGGCAAAACAAGTGTGGGGCCTGATGCCGATGGGTGGCCTTGCTAGTTTATGCGTAGGGATTAGTTACGTTGCCAAACACTTCTTTTAGAGTGGCAATAGATAGATACCCCGTTCCCAAAAGAAAGAAAGAAAAAAAAAACTGATACTACTAATACACCATTATTCCATAAGCAATATCTTATCTTCAAACGCTTTCATCATTTCTGCATCCAGCAAAAGCCTAAGAAGCAACCACCAAATCTCTACAGCTCAGTTTTTATTTTTCTATTTTGATGAATATAATATAAGAAATAATATAATTGGAAGATTTTAAGGTTTTTTTGAAAAAGGAGAATAGCATCAACATGAAGGGAAGGATACCAGCTTGTAAGATTTTGCAGTTATCTAAACAGGAGAATGGGATGCATCAAGAAGACAAGAATATCAATTTGTTGAAAATCTCTGTTACAAGGAAAAATAAGCTAATGACATTCTGAGTAGTGCAGAACAATCTTCTTTTGTTTCTTATTCATGGCAACAAATGAGAGAGGGAAGAAAATAAGTAAGAAAATAGCGCATTACAATAGTCAAATACAAAGCATATTAAATACTTCATCACCTCTATCAAATTAAAACTTTGCTATTGGGATGAAGGATTAAGACAATCATGATCCTTCTGAAACTAGAGACAAATAATTTAGTTAATGATCCCAATGATTGCAACCACATATAACAATTCATTAGCTTGATTCAAGCACACTACAAAAATGTTACCGTTATCTGGAATATTTTCTGACATATTTCTTCAAGTGATTTTGAGGCTCTGTAGAAAAAACCTGTCCATGGCATAGTAGAACATTATTATGATAATGTAGCAAAAATTCGTGCATATATGGAATTACACAACATTGATAATGATAAGCAAGTCTTGTCAGTCATAAACGATCAAATGAGCAAAAATTCGTGCAATTGTCAAGTCTTTTCATTTCTTTAAGGTGTTTATGATTCAGTGAAGGGTTGTTCTTATGTAAATCGTTGAACTAGTGATTATCAGAATTCTTAATTAGTTTGACGGCTCTTGATTAACAGTTGCCTTATGGAGAGATTATTTTGTGCGACACTGGACGGGAGAACCGTTCGGTACCGCTTGGTACCGAGCGGTACAGGCGCTCGGTACAGCTCGGTACTACACTCGGTACCGAGCGCGGTACACTTTTGAGGTGATGTGGCACATTTTTATTGGTCTCTGGACGATGTCCGGACTCCGCATAGAATAATTTGTCTGCCTTATCTAAGAACCTGGAATGAATTTATACTTTATATACATCAAATTGCCAGCAAATCAAGCCAAATAAAATGGTTTTAAAACGTTCAGTCTGAAATGTGTTTGATAGGAGACTAAGACAATTGAACAACAATCTTTTTTAAGACTTTCCCCAGGGCATGGATGTGGGGCTTTTGCTCACTCCAAAGCTGTTTGTCACCTCTGCGCGCCTCTTGCGATCCAATAGCGTGGCTTACACCCATGGCAACTGAAGATTTATTTGGCTATTTAGAAGTTTAGAACGCTACACCAATAGTCATAAAAATCAAAGACTTTTGACTCAAATTAAAACTTGTTTAGCCTAACTCGTCAACCGGATGCCTAGCTGTTTAAGGATTTTGATGAGAATCATGACCTGGATGCACAGTTGGAGAAGAAATTTGACTGAATAATTGATTGGCTTGCTTGTATGATATTGGCTCTAATTTCATTTATATGCTCATGCCAATCGGACTTCAGATTCAGGTGAAATTATAGTAAGTCTTCATTTACAATACATGTACGTTTTAACGTCCTTTCATATAAAAACCCAATTTTTAGGCACTGTTGTATTAGCATAGAACATATTTTTAACTTTTCTCTATTTATTGTTCATTGCACAAAATTTTGAACTTATAAATAAGCACAGAAATTTTTCGAGGCTTACGCCACACCTTGTAACAGGTGAAAAACCTCACCTATGCTTCCTTCTATTAGACTATTGTTGACCAACAAAATTTTGGTACAAAAAAAGGTTTGTACCAACCATTAAAGGAGGATTGATGATTAAATAACCTTCTCAAAGTTTAACAACTCAAGAGATGGATCTAAAATTTGAATGCAACGCAAGTCTACTAAAGTTTTCATATAAAATGAAAAGATTAAATACAATTTTAATATAAGAAACCAAAATCTATGAAATTTGCAGTACTGCCAAAATTACCATGCCCCAATCAATAAGCTAGAACAGAATTTCGATCATCCAAATAAATCATCTTACCACAGGAAATGAGTTTGCAATAATTTCAGTGCCCAATTTAGAAGCATATGCCGGTGGAAAATAAATCTCAAAATAATATTTAAATATTATGGGCAGCTGAAAGAAAATATGAAAATGACGAAATAACTTCATCAAACCTAAAACATTATATGGTTTTATTGATAACAACATTGATTATACAGACTATAAGAGAATTGACTTTTACTGATGGAGCACATCGAGAGCTCCTGATACTAATTATTATTATTTTTTTGGTTGCATACCCACAAGTGTTAATAGTAACATGACCAATCCCCCACTAGTGCAAAGATCAGAATTATCAATTTAATATCAGATTAATCCCCTCATATAAAAAAAGATGAAATCTCAAATTCCCTGCCCTTTAATTCTCCTTTTGGATTTGATTTGAAAACCATCACTTTGGCCCCCATTCCGGATTAAGAAAAGGTTTGGGTGTGGTCCATTTTATAGCCAACACAAAAGCTTATGCATAAATTCATGAAAATGAATGGCATTCAATATTTACAAACATTAAGCCATTTGCCAAAAGCAACAACCCACAATCTTTCTCGATTGTGGTGAAAGTAGGTGAGATTTGGTGAGGGTGTCACGTATAAGGAGTGAGCCATAATGTAATCAGACTGTTGTGAGAAATAAGCAAGTGTTGTCTAATAACACATGTAAGTGATGCACAATATTATAATCCCATTTTCATAAAGTTGGGCGAAGGTAGAGTAAGCTAAAACTTAATACTAGATTTACTTCATTGAATGAGAAGCCAAGTGAAATAGTGGGAATAATGATTTGGAGAAAAATCCTCAGCATATATTTGAAAGAAACAAAATACTACAACAACAACATCAAGCCTTTATCCCACTATGTAGGGTCGGCTATATGGATTCCTTTCTCCATTGTGTCATGTCAAGAGTTAAATTCTCAATTAAATCTAATAAAGAAAGGTCATTTCTAATATTTTCTAATCAAGTCTTTTTAAGTCAAAATAAAAATAGAAAAATTCAAAGAAAATGGGAAGAGTATTAATTATTGTATTTTGGGCATGTGAAAAATATGAGTGAAGCATAGTCGTGGATAGAGAGTTTGTGATAAATCTTTGACCTATGCAAGAATAGTGTGTTATCACATAAATGAATTATGATAAATTAATAGATGAACCACCATAACAAAAAACTAAGGATAGAAGATGATTAATAGCTGTGATCTAAATGGTATTTAAGATGCTTTATAGTAGGGCTGCAAGCGAACCAAACGTTCGACAAGCCACTCGTTAGTTAAAAAAAATTCGTTAAATATGTTCGCGAACAAGTTTGATAAGCACTAAACGAACGAACATGAACTGAACATGAACCGAACATGAACACTCATTAATTTAAATGAACCAAACATGAACACAAACAATAAAGCTCGAACAAACATGAACCAAACTTGAACAAGCTGATATTAAATGAACACAAACATGAACACACATACTCGGCTAGGCTCGGTTCGTTTGCAGCCCTACTTTATAGAATGAATTAAGTGTGGGCATAAGGGAATGCTTGAATTCACAATAGTATATATTTAAGCATAATGAAAATGTACTTTAGAAACAATAGGAGTATTTGGTCATTTAAAAAAAAATGAAAATTTAAAATATTTTTAAAATTTTCATTTAAAATAGAAAAATAGGACTAGCAGATTGACTGTCGAAACTAGTAAATTGATTGTCTGAGCATTGACTTTAGTTTATGTTATCTTATTTTAATATTTTTTTCTTAAGAAGTTCAATTTTTTTTTAATTTCTCTTCATAAGGGATGATTTCTATGGGATAAGACTGTCTTCTCTAATATGCTGAAACCATCATTCCACTAGTTTTGTTTAGTTCATTGTGCTAGTATGGTTAGATTTAATAATTGTTTCTCCGTTTCACTCACTATTTGGTTCAACCACTCATTCTTTGATCAGCTCAAACTTTGTCTATTGCTGTTTTGGGCCTTCATTTTGGCTAGGAATGATTTGGGCTTAATTAATAATTTGCCTTGCTCCTTAGGTTAGTGGACTCAGACTTTGCTTAACTTCTCCCTCATGTTGGCTTCTTTCAAGGTTGATGTTTCGCTTTGGTTGCATGAACTTCAGCTCTAACCTTGTGCCTTGCGGCTTTTTGGCCTGCATGAATCACAACTTTTTTACCTGGTTTGTGGCTCTACCTATAGAACTTTTATTACGTCCTCTGACCGGACGTAGCACTACGTTCGGTCAGAGGATTGTTACTCGATTTTTGCTCGGTATTTGGTCGGTATTGTTAGGTATTGTTTGGTAATAACGAGGAATACCGCTCTGTGAAAATCAATACCGAGTAATACAGAGCAATACCGAGCAATCCCAAAAAATACCGTGTTTTTTTATTTTTTGGGATTACTCGGTATTGCTCGGTATTTACTCGGTATTTTGTCTTCACATAATGGTATTTCTCGTTATTGTTGGTATTGCTCGGTATTTGCTCGGTATTTCTCGTTTTGTGCCTGCGATCTTAGTGCCGGCCAAACGTAACTCTACGTACATTCACGGAACGTAATAAAAGTTCCTACCTATAATATCAGCATTCAGTTGCTTGGGCAACAACTTGTGATTTTGTTCCTTTAGTTGATAGGGTTCGTGCTAGTGTGTCTTTGTTACAGTTTTACACGGACTTAAAGCTGTGGCTTTGAATCTACAATATTTTCAACTGGATATAGTTGACTCTACAGTATTTTCAACTGGATATAATTATCAAACCTATCTTCTAATCTTGTATATTGAGGAATTTATGATTAAAAATATGGGCTCCTGAGGCATGTAAAAAAAAATCTAATAATACTCCCTTGCATTTATGTTGTTTTCTCCATGCATGAGTTCTGGTGGATGCAATTCTTTCTATATTTTGGTACAATCGTTTGCTTAAATTACCCCTTGAATGAATTATGCATTTTATTTTTTTAAGGCTGCATTATCATGTCAATTAAGATACAATAATAAGTTCGATAGAAAATTAACATAATGCAAATTAAACAAAATAGAGTAAACTATGATTCTAAACAACTACAATATGATTATTATGAGGTTAAAAATATATTCACATATTCAATGGGAGGTGTAATTTTAGGCAACTTTAAATAGTATTAATAATTTAAAAGATTTCATTGAATGTTAGGATATGTCTAATATCCAAAGGGTTAAATTTATTTAAACAAAACTAATAAGACACATTTAATATTATTGGTGAAGTATTGTTAGTAAATCTACACTGATTAATATGAAGTATACGCTTGAGGAACAATATTTGCTATTTAGTGAATATAAGAATAAACTGCACGATCAATTTAAGAATTATAAAAAAATAAATATGATATTTTTTAATATAACGTAAAATTTAAAAATCTTGTAGTCAAATATTATTTACCTCAAGAATATTCTATTATCATTATCTATTTCATTAAAAATCCATAATTAAGAAGTTAAAGATGAATTGAACAAGAATTTATATAAAATACTGTAC